CTGACTCCTACAAGCTCTGTACAAGGCATTGAAGGTGTTGACTAAATCCATGGCAGAGGATGGTTCACATTGCTACTGGATTTATCAGACCCTGATCATTTCTTCCCTATAATCAGAGTCACTTTTATTTATCTCTCAACCTCCCATTCTTTTATTACCAGATTTTTCTAATCAAATATACTACCTAAAGTCACCTGATCAGCCTCTCCCCTTCCTAATATGAGTTGATGTCAGCCATATCCTCAGGATCAAATCTATGTTTTTTAGCCTCACTAGCCTCTGTATTCTCTTTCCACATCCAGGCCATGTACATTCTGTATCCCTGAGCATCCTCCATCTCCCAGAGAGACTGAATGCCCTGGTAGAATTTTGTGGCCCTCCAAAATAGAAATATTTCTTCTGTCAGCTTATTCTGCACTCCCTCTTGCCACTGAAGTCCCTATGAGTCCAAGAAAGCTACTCCCTGTGTATCACCCTCAGAGCTCCTGAACTTGGTTGCTAAGGCACAGTTCTGCTTGTTTTCAAAATGATGTATGCATGTTGTTGTCTCTCCCAAAGCCTGTAAGCTCCATGGAGAACAGAGGCTTTTTTTTTTTTTATCTTCACAGCATCTGCATTGAGTTATCTGATAGATATTCAATAAATGTTTGAATGAACAGAAATAAAATCCAGACATGCTAGAAATGATGACTGAACCACAATCAATCAGGCCAAGACTGGCTCTTGAGAGCCTCCTGAGAAAGGTAAATCACCCAAACGTGGTCCACAGCAGAGCTTTCTGCATGATGTAATGCAGGCTCTCCTTCTGGGAAGTACTTCACATTCCTGATTAAATGCTTGTTTCTGATATTCGTAAATGACTGAGAACTTCTGGGAAGTTAGGGTTGAACCCCCGTGGACTGACTGGCCTAATTATCTTCAAACATACTGTTTGTTTTGCTTTTAAACACAGTTCATCCAAGACTATTTAAATGTAAAAGTTCATTCATTTTCTCTACCTTGCCATCCAGTTCTCCCTGTCCCTAAGAGCAGACATTTGGTGACTCTGGAAGGATGCATGGTTCTCACATGAAGGGAGGGAGGGACCAGACAGCACGTATAAGGGGTAGGAGCCACATGCAATCCCCTATAACAAGAGGAATGATGAGGCTAAGCACCCTGGGAGACTGACAGCCTGGCAGGGATGGTTCATGCTTTATGGGCTCACGATGGAGCATGGGGTTTATACCTCAATAAGATGACATGGACTTGACCAGGATTCTCTGAAAATAACAAAAATGCACTGAATGTGTTAAGAATTATATAATAACTAGCATTTATTTAGGACAGGTTAGGATAAGCTATGGAAGCAGAGCACCAGGTCTTGGTGGCTTGAAACAACCACCATTTATTTCTGGCTCACACTGTGTGCCCAACCAGAAGGAGGAGGGCTCTGGTTGGTCCAGTTAAGGACTGGGATCCCGGATAACACAGACATCAGCATTTTATGATCATCAACAGGGCTCTGGGGTTTGCTGTGACAGAGAGAAGATAGAGAGGCATGGGGCAGCAATTAAATGGCTCTGCTTGGCAGTGACAGACTTCTCACATTTCAAGAAAATCACTGAACTAATTCAATTTCAAGAAGGGGATGGACAAGGAATCTTCCATAATCCTGGAGAAACAAACCCTTGAAATATTGAAAAATGCTAGAACATTCACCTACCATAGCCAACATAGTACAGGGGCAGGACAGCCATTTCAGATGTTAGAGGGAGCTTCAGATTGTGGTGAAAAGGAAAACCAGATTGCCTCTGATGTCCAATGAGAGGGAATTTCAGACCTTCAGAATGATGGTGTAAGGAGCCTAGAAGACCATCTTGCCATTCAAGCAGCCATTTAACTGGTGAAAATTATAGACAAACAACTATTTAAAGTCTCTGAAAATTGTCCTAAGAGCAGATAGCAAGTGGAGAAACTTTTATTCAATAATATCTCAGTAGGAGCATCAAGAGGTGAAAGTTTTTGAGCCATAAATTGTTCTCATGTCCTCCCCATAGTTGCACTTGTCCATCCAGAAGGACATGACCCAGAAGAGAGGGGCTTCTCCCCCTGACCTCCCACCAGCTCCTGCTCTAGGACTGTGGTTTCACTCTGAGAGGGGAAGCCTGCCAATGTGTCTCGACAGCACTAGCTCCAGGTATAGAAGCGCAGGTTCAGATAAGCATGTCTGAGAAGACTGGGTTCCTCTTCTTCTCTCAGTTCTTGCTTGTGGGTCAAGGGCTCTGCCCCAGGCATGACAGGTTGAAAATAGTGGAGCCCCAATTTCCCCCAAGAAGTATGCTTCTAACATGAAGTTTTCATGCCAGGAGGAGTAAAGCCAAGATGATCAAGGACTACCAACTCTCTCCCTCTGCAGTGCGCATCGATCACCTGGAGAAGCAGATCATGGTCCCTACCACAGCTCCAGTACAGTGGCTCTGAGATTGCATCTAAAGGGAGATGCAGTCCTAAGACTGCAGAGCTCTATAGTCCTGCCAGAAGGAATTGATTTTGTTTGGAATAACAACACCTAAGGTCATTATCAAAAACACTGTGAGAAATTAAAAGGCAGGGGACTAGTAGCTCCAGGACACTAGTAGCAACAAGGAAAATGGCAGATTGGAAAAGACAACTAAGAATAAACTTTCTGTGTTCAGATTCACCCAAGGGATCCAGAAGACTGTGGGCATGCATAAAGCTCTAACAGAGTTGTAGGTCAGACTTGAAAGCATTCTCCAAACTGCACAGATCTATCAGTAAAATGCACGTTCCTTGAAAGATTTACTGGAAGACACAAGGTGCTTAAGCAAAATCTCTGACCAAATACTGGCTCAAAAACAAGCTGCTCTGACCCAGAGGTGACTCCCAGGTTCAACATAAAGTCCCTCCATCCCTGGTGATCTGAACAGTTGTCCTGGGGATCAGGGGGCAGAAAGACCAGATGTGGCAGCTAGTCCCTGGCTGAATATGGAGCAAAACTTAACCTCTCTGAAATGTGAAAATAGCCTCCAAGGCACATACACATATAATCCAGTGGTAAAGGGAAAAAATGCTAGCTGGTTATAAAAGGGCTGAACTACAACATTTGACCAGTGAGTAGTTTATACTCACGCAGAGACAACCTCTAGGAAGCCAGAATAAAAGATAAAAATAAGGGGGCAAAATCTGAGCAGAGACTTCAGGGACTGCATACTCTAGGGAAAATAGACTTAATGGGTTTGAGCAAGTCAAGTTCCTAAAAAAAAAAAAAAAAAAAAGCAAATAACAAGCAAACACCAATGCCAAACCTAGAAGAGGATCAGGTGAGGACAAGAGCACTACCCAGAGTTTCTGTAACATATAATCTAAGTGTCCAGCTTTTGACAAGGGAATCCATGATAAAGTCTGACTTACACATGGGGAGAAACAAAGCAGGCTTTGAGGAGCTCAAAGAAGCTATTATAAATATGTTTAAAGAACTAAAGAGAACCATGTTTAAAGAATTAAATGAAGATCTAACTTAACACATAGTAATTATAAAAAATGAACCCAATGGAAGTTCTGAAATTGAAATGTACAATCACTGAAATTAAAAGTTCACTAGTGAGGCCCAATAGATTGAGACAACAGAAGAAAGAATCAATGTAAACCAAAAGATAGACTATTAAAGATTATGCAATCTGAAGAACAGGAAGAAAAAATAATGAAATCAAACAGAGCCTCAGAGAAATGTGGGGTACCATTAAGCATGCCAGTATATGCATAAAGGGCATACCAGGATGAGAGAAAGGTATAGAAAAAAATATTGAAAGTTATAATGTGTGAAAACCTCTCAAGTTTGATGTAAAATGCCGATCTATGCATCTAGAGAACTCAGTAACCTCCAAACAGGATAGTTGCAAAGAGAACCAAATACATTGCACCTGGATGTGATGTAGTTAAAAGGTTATAAATCAAAGAGAAAGCAAACTCTTGAAAGAAACAAGAAACTCATCATACCAAGGATCCCCCAAAACTACACAGGGATCTTTAATGATATGCCAACTTTGCATCAGAAACACTGGAAGGCAGAGGCAACAGGACAACATATTCAAAATAGTGAAAGAGAAAAGGGAGTCAACCCCAAACCAGATATCCAGCAAAGCTATCTTTAAAAAAATTAAAGCAATCATCCTACATTGCTGATAGGAATAAAAAAAAAAACAAACACAGAACACCTGCTTTGGAAGCCTAATTACCTATGTATATACCTAAGAGAAATGAAAAAAACCTGTTTGCACAAAAACTTGTATGTGAATGCTGCTGTGGGTTGACTGCAATTTGTCCCCTTCAAAACTTGTGTTGAAATTTAATCTCTGTTATTAAATATTAAGACATGAGACCAACAGGGACTTTGGAGCTCTGCCCTCATAAATCGATTAATCCATTCATGTGGTTAATGGATTGATGGGTTAATGAGTTATATCAAGAGTTAGTCTGCTGTAAAGGCCAGTTTGGCTGGGTTTCTCACCTTCTCACCATGTGATACTGTGCACCAACTCAGGACTCTGCCAGTAGGACAGCCACCACTAGTTGTAGCCCTTTCACCTGGAGCGAGAACTGAGAACCCATATAAGCTTTTTTTCTTTATCATTTACCCTGTGACATTATGTTGATGAGCAATAAAAAATGGACTAGGTCAAATACTCATAGTCGAAAAGTATTTTTAAAAATCTAAATGACCATCAAATATAAAGTGGATAAATGATTATGATCCAATGGATTATCATTCAGCAATAAAAAGAATTGAAGTATTAATATATGTACCATATAAGTAAATCTTGAAAACATGCTAAATGTAAGACCAGTCACAAAGAATCACATATTGTATGGCTCCATTTGTGTAAGATATCCAGAAGAGGCAAAACTCTCTGCAGACAGTATGTACCTTGTTGCTGCTTAGGGCTGGAGAGAGTGGAGGGAATGGGAAGTGACTGTGCATTAGCTTCCAGGGCTGCTGTAACCAATTACCACTTACTGGGTGGTTTGGAAAAACAGAAGTTTATTTTCTTATAGTTCTAGAAGCTAGAAGTCCAAAATCACAGGTCATGCCCTCTCCAATGCCTGTAGGAGACCCTTGCTTGCCTCGCTTAGCTTCTGGTAGCTCCAGGATTTCCTCGGCTTGGGGCAGCATAAAGCCAGTCTCTGCTGTCATCTTCCTCTGTGTCTGTGTCTGGCTCACCCAGCATTCTCCTCGGCTTGGTGTCTGTGTCCAAGTTCCCCTGCTCTTGTAAGGATACCAGTCATATTGGAATACAGCCCACCCTACTGACCTCATCTTAACTGGATTACATCTGAAAAGACTGTTTCCAAATAAGGTCACATACAAGATACTGGGGATTAAAACTTCAACACATCTTTTTGGGGGGACAGGGTTTAACTCAGACTACAAATGGGTATGGAGTCTTCTAGGGGTGATAAAAATGTTCTAAAATTAGATATGTTAGATGTACAACTCCTTAAATATTCTAAAAACCACTGACTGGTACATTTCAAATAAATGAATTCCATGGTGTTATGAATTATATATCAATAAAGTTGTTTTAAAATACAAAAGAGAAATATTTTAAAATGAGGGATAAGATATAGGGTGGGAACCCCAGAGAATTTGTAGGTAGCAGACCTTCATTAAAAGAAATACTATGGACTAGGGATGTAACTCAGTGGTGGAACAATTGCCTAGCATACAGAAGGCCCCAAGTTCAGTCCCAGCACTAAAAATGAATAAATGAAAGAAAGAAAGATACTAAAGAAAGTTCTGTAGGCTGAAAAGTAGTAACACCAAAGAGTAATTTGAGTTCACAAGAAAAAAACAAAGAGTTCCGGTAAAGTAGTTATGTAGGAAATGATAAAGGACATCTAATTATGTATTTCCTTTTGTTTCTTGAGTGATGTAAAAATAAATTATATAAAAGAGAGGACTCTGTCCATGCACTTTCACCCACATGAAGCTAGAATGGCCCCAGAGTTCCTCCTGACTTTTAACTTTTCATTTAACCTGTCCAGATTCTAAGCTGCTCCCTGATCCTGTGATCTCCAGGCTCATGGGGCTCTGACTTACTGAATCTGGCATTATCCAGATTATCCCACTGCCCACCCCTGCAACAGAAACCAAATGATCATTTTTGAGGCATTTCTAATTGCTTTTGGTATTGGTTGAGAAACTACATATGTTCTCTGCTGAAGGGGGAAAAAAAACTTTATCTAAAAGCAAATCACACTTTCTAAATGACAGAAATGTTTGGCTGAAGTTAAAACTAAAGGTTAGGATAAAGGTCCATTTTCTTAGATTTAATCCCTTTGGCCATGGTCCTCCCCTGTACTGCAGAGAGATTTTTAAAAGCAAAGGTCAGCATCTGTCTTAGAACTGACCAGTTCACATATAATGCAACCTTTTTTAAAAAAAAAAAAAAAATGACATCAACTGATTCCAAACTGTTTTTATTAGCAGTCCTGGGTCTCTGGTGTCCTGAGTAGGAAATTATTCTTGGCTTTGCCTAAATTGGGTAGCTGTTTTGAGATGCAGTGTTGCTGTATCTGATTAGGGTGGGGATTTATGGTATCTTTTCTCTTACACAGAGAGACTGAGGTCTATTGTTGGGAGAGTTTTAAGATTCCCAAATTCTACTGTCATTTATGCTGTAGAATCTAGTGGGGATCTAGTAAAATTGCATGTTCTAAAATGGTGCACTTCATATCAGTGGCAGAGAATCAAGATTGGTTTTTGGTGTCCAAAATCCTTTCTCTTACCCTGTTCTTCCACCCTATGTTGTTTAATGCCCTTGAGTGGTTTTCACCAGAGGACCATGGACATGGATAAGGCTGAAATAATAATTGAGGCACTTTAAGGTGGGTTCCTCCACATGAGGGGGCCATCTACTGCAGAGGCCAGGGAGCCCTGTTCAAGATAAAGAAACTTGGCATTTGGGGATCTGGGGAGTCTAGGGTAGGTTTAAAGCTACCAGTTCTTCTGCAACCCTGAGGACAGTGGGAGAAGTCTGTGGAAAGGGTAAGCTGATGTTTTCTAATCACAGTCAGGATAATGGAGGGAAGACCAGGGAGCCACTGGATTTCATGCAGCTGTTTTAAGAGGGAGCTGACAGTTGGCATCTCAGGCAAGAGCCACAGTTCCTGCCATTGCACTAGGATTCCTCCATTACCCACATAGCAGCAGCCAGCCTCAAGCCCAGCTGAGCTCTTAGGGAAAAAGAGCTAGCCTGACTGAACAAACCCCAGGGAGAGAGAGCTGCAGGGGGAGATCAGTAAGCACTAGATTAACATCTCATATTTCTGGTAGTTATTGAAGAGGAGCCTTAAACTATGTGGCTAAGTACATCTTCACACTCCGATCTTAACTTTACAAGCTGGGCAAGTGGTCTCAGCCTGAAATCCCTGCAGCAGCAGCCACA